CTGGTTTGGACCTGTGCAGACCTGTGCGGAGGAACCGTGGATACACGACAGATGTTGAATGTGGAGCTAGCTCCATCCATTCCCTGTGAAGGTGGAAATGCAGATGCAGGTGGTTGGTGTGACAGAAGAGGAGAGAAGTCCTAAAGGGAGCAGCTGAACAATTACAAATGAATCAAAGCAGAGTTTTTTCAGGGCACAAGTATTCAGTTAAAATACAAAAACATGTCGCACACGTTGCGCGTTCACAGACCGACTCGTCCAGCAGGGGCGCTGCTCAGCCAGACATGTTTTTCCCATCAGGCTGTGCGGTAGCTTCTATAAAAGCGCCTCGCGCCCGCTTCTCTGCCTCATTCCTCGGACGACTTACTGGTGAGTTGGTTGGAGTTTTTCAGCTTTAGTGTTTGTCTCGTGGTTTTTGACTTTATTGTACGCCCGCAGTAATAACTGTTAACCTATCATGTAGGTAACGTTGTACTCGGTGGCATTTTTAAGTGGAAGCTCTTTAGAGCTAATAAGCGTTAGCCTAGCAGGCCTCATCCACGTGCAACAGATCGCGTGTTGGCCTGCGGATCGTTAGCTCCTGTTTTAAAAGCAGCCTCAGTGCAGTTTAGTCCCGCTTACATATGATGACATAATGTTGCTAGGGACATCTGAGTCGATGTGAAGTAAAGGCAACATTCCTGACAAGACGGGGCAAAGGCTGTGAGAAACTGGGCCGGTTAGCTTAGCTGCACGGCTCCTGCTGCTGGCCATGCAGCGTATTTAGTGGGTGTGTATAACTTTGTGTGAAGTTATGAGGATTTTAATTAAAAATATGTTAACCTTCCTGTCGTGTTTGGGTTAAATCTGACAGATTAACAACTTAAAACACTCAAAAATACAGACGGCTCTTCAAAGATGAAGGATCACGATGCTCATCCTGACTTCTCAAAATCAGCAGATGCTTGATGGTAAGGAATTCTGCTTTAAACCCTGAATTTTTATTTATTTTTTTATTTTGTTTCCCTAAATGGACGTCGGTGATGATTTAAAGTGTAAGAGTAGTGGACAGAAGTGATTTCTGAGCATTTTCTACACTGAGACTTCCATATATAGTTTTTCCTTTGAGTTTCTTGCTTTTCCCATTCATTGTAATAGTCCTAACAAGACTGTTTCTACAGGTGCCGTGAAAGCCCAGAGATGTGACTGGTCTGTAGGGGACTGAGGAGGTGAGGATGAGTGTTTGCAGAGGAAACTTGTGCTTCTCTAAGGTGTTCGCTGTGGAGAGACTACACTTGCTCTTAAATCAAACTATAATGATAAAATTCCTAAAGCTGAAATTGAAGGTGCCTTTTTAATTGCTTGGGTGCGGGGCCATATTTACACAAATATTTCAAACCTAAGTATTAATAACCCCAGTGTGCCTTTGCATGGATAAACTAATATTTGCATGTAAAAGTAATGGGGATATTACTGCTTTCATTTGACTGGCAAAGTGTGATTTGTACACAATGTACAACAAATGAACAGGAAATCTATTTTAAATGAAAATGTTAAATATTTGGCCAAAACACTGACTTGTAACGCTGTTCCTGGAGTCCTGATCCACACGTGTAGTTTTCTCTCTGCTGACACCTCAGGGAAGCATCAGTCTTTGCCATAAATTTGTGCTCCTGTGATGACACTTATTTGCTACTCTTGAGAAGATGTGATGATACTCCAACCACCAAGTTGTATTATCTGAGGCACTACTTACTCCCAACCTGTGAGCTTAAAAGTTTATATCATTTTAATCACTTTATTTTTACCCACAGGTGTCCTCAGGTCCGAGTCCTATCGCTAACAGGTAATGGATGTAAATTCTTGATCATGTGTTACCATAAGAAACTGTTAATGATGACTTTTGTTTTTAAAACAATGGGAATCTCTCTGAAAAAGAGTGAAAGAG